ACCATTTATAATTTTTAAAAAATCTTCAGAAAATTGGCACAGAAGGAATCTACCTCAGTATAATAAAGGCCACATAAAACAAATCCACAAAAACATTATTCTCAATGGTGAAAAACTGAAAGCAATTCCTCTAAGATTAGGAACAAGACAAGGGTGTACACTCTCACCACTATTATTCAATATAGTTTTGAACAGTCCTAGACACAGCAATCAGAAGGAAAAGAAATACAAGGAATCTGTATTGGAGAAGAAGAAAATTCTCATTGTTTGCTTGTGACATGACACTACACAGAAAAACCCAGGTTCGCAACCAGAAAACTACCAGAACTGATCAATGAATACAGTAAAGTTACAGAATATAAAACTAATACAGAGAAATCCCTTGTGCTTCTGTACACTAACAATGAAAAATCAGAAAGAGAAGTTAAGGAAACAATTCCACTTACCACTGCAACAAAAGAGTAAACTATCTAGGAATAAACCTATCTAAAGAGACAAAAGATCTGCATACAGAAAACTGTAAGACACTGACGAAAGAAATCAAAGATGACACTAAGAGATGGAGAGATATACCATGTTCTTGGATTGGAAGAATCAACATTACGAAAATGACTGTACTTCTTAAAGCAATCCAGATTCATTGCAATCTCTATCAAAATGCCAGTGATATTTTTCACAGAACTAAAACAAAAAAATTCACAACTTACATGGAATCACAGAAGACCCCAAATTGCCAGAGCAATCTTGTCAAAGAAAAATGGAGCTGGAGGAATCAAGCTTCCTGACTTCAGCCTATACTACAAAGATACAGGCATTAAGATAAACCTACACACCTATGGGCACCTAATCTTTGATCAAAATGGCATTAATATAATAGTGGAGTAAAGTTTCTTCAATTAAGTGGTGCTGAGAAAACTGAACAGCTACATATAAAAGAATGAAATTAGGACACTTCCTAACACCATATACAAAAATAAACTCAAAATGGATTAAAGACTTAAATGTAAGATCAAAAACTATACAGTTCTTAGAGGAAAACATTGACAGTGCATGCTTTGACATAAATCACAGCAAGATCCTCTTTGACCCACCTCCTAGGGTAATGGAAATAAAAACAAAAATAAACAAATGGGACCTAATTAAACTTCAAAGCTTTTGCACAGCCAAGGAAACAATAAATAATATTAAAATCAACCCTCAGAATGGGAGAGAATAATTACAAATGAAGCAACAGACAAAAGATTAATCTCCAAAATATATAAGCAGCTCATATAGCTCATTATCAGAAAAACAAACAGCCCAATCAAAAAGTGGGCAGAAGGCCTAAACAGACATTTCTCCAAAGAAGACACACATATGGTCAATAAACATTTGAAAAGATGTTCAACATCACTCATTATTAGAAAAATGCAAATCAAAACTACAATGAGGTTACATTACCTTATACCAATCTGAATGATCATCATCCAAAAAAACTAGAAACAATAAATGCTGGAGAGGATGTGGAGAATAGGGAAGTCTCTTAAACTGCTGGTGGGAATGCAAACTGACACAGCCACTATGGAGAGTGATATGGAGATTCCTGTAAAACTAGGAATAAAACTACCATATGACACAGCAATACCACTACTGGGCATATACCCTGAGAAAACCATAATTCAAAAAGACACATGTACCCCAGTGTTCACTGCAGCACTATCTACAGTAGCCAGGACATGGAAGCAACCTAGATAAGAAGTGATACCTATATAAAATGGAGTAGTATTCAGCCATAAAAAAAACAAATTTGAGTCAGCCATAGTGAGATGGATGAACCTAGAGCCTGTGATAGAGTGAACTAAATCAGAAAGAAAAAACAAATATCATATATCAACACATATATATGGAATCTAGAAAAACATTACTGACGAAGAACCTATCTACAGAGAAGAAAAAGAGGCTAAGATGTAGAGAACAGACTGGCAGACACAGTGGGAGAAGGAGAGAGGGCAAACTGGCAAAGCAGCATTGACATATATACAGTATTATACATAAAACAGATAACTAGTGGGAAGCTGATGTATTAAAGAGGCAGTCCAGGCTGGCTGGGGCTCTGTGACGATCTAGAAGGCTGGACTAAAGGTTTGAGAGAGGCTCAAGAGGGAGCGTACACATATATATGTGTGTGTGTGATTCTCGTTGTATGACTGATTCTCGTTGATATACCACAAAGACCCCCTCAAGATTATAAAGCAATTGTCCACCAATAAAGATAAAAATAAATTAAATAAAATCACACCAAAAAAATAAAATGCCTAAGAATAAACTTAACCAAGGAGGTAAAAAAGTTACACTCTGAAAATTATAAAATACTGACATAACAAAAAGAAATAGATGATACAAAGAAATAAAAGATATCCCATGTACATAAGTTTTGAAGAATTAATATTGTTAAAATGCTCACATCATCAAAAGCAATCTATAAATTTAATTCAATCCCTATCAAAACACTCATGACGTTTTTCATAGAACTAGAGTATATAATCCTAAAATTTACATGGAGCCACAAAAGACCCTGCGCAGCCAAAGCACTCTTGAGGAAAAAAGAAAAAGAACAAAACTGGAAGTATCACACTCCCTGACTAAAAGGCTATCATCATCAAAACAGCATGGTACTGGCACAAAATCAGATACATAGATCAATGGAACAGAATAAAGAGTCCAGAAATAAAGTCATGCATCTCTGGTCAATCCACAACAAAGGAGGAAGGAATACACAGAGTATAAAAACCAGTCTCTTCCACAAGTGGTGCTGGGAAAACTGAACAGTTAACATGTAGAAGAATGAAATTAGAACAGTTTCTCATACTTCATACAAAAATAAACTAAAAAATGGAGACCCAAAACCATAAAACTCTTAGGAAAAAACATAGGTAGAACACTCTTTGACACAAATTGTTAAAATATTTTTTGGATCTGTTTTCTAAGGCAAAGGAAACAAAAGTAAAAATAAACAAACAGAATCTAATTTTACTTAAAAGCTTCTGCACAGCAAAAGAAATCACTGACATAATGATAAGACAACCTGCTGAATGGGAGAACATATTTGCAAACGATACATATGATAAGCTGCTATCATTTATATAAATACTTTAACAGCTCATACAATAGCAAAAACCTGATTAAAAAATAAGCAGAAAGTGTGAATATACATTTTCTAAAGAAGATATACAAATGGTCAAGACACATGAAAAGATGCTAAACATATTTTTCATAGAAAAGCAAAACAAAACCATAATGAGATATCATTTCACACCTGTAAAAATGGCTACCACCATAAAGTCTACAAATAACAAATATTGGCAAAGCTGTGGAAAAAAGGAAACACTCCTACACTGTTAGTAGGAATATAACTTGATACAGTCACTAAAGAAAACACTATGGAGGCTTCTCAAAAACTTGAAAATAGAATTACTAGCAAGTCCACTCCTGGACACATCTGAAGAAAATGAAAACACTAATTCAAAAATGCATGCATTTGAATGTTCACAGCATTATTACTCATAATAACCAAGACATAGAAGCAGCTAAAGTGTCCATAACAGCTGAATGAATAAAGAAGATGTGTTTTATCTATACAATGGAATACTGGATGGTGGTGATAAATATATGTGTGTGCTCGGTCACGTTCAACTCTTTGCAACCCTCTTTGTAGCCCACCAGGCTCCTCTGTCCATGGGATTTTCCTGGCAAGAATCCTGGAGAGGGTTGCCATTTCCTCCTCCAGGGGATCTTCCCAACCCAGGGATCAAACCATGTCTTTTGCATTGCAGGCAGAATCTTTACTACTGAGCCACCAGGGAAGACCCTACAATGGAATACTACTCAGTCATACAAAAGAATGAGATTCTGCCATTGACGACAAGGATGGACCTAGAGGGTATTATATAAGATAAGGAAAGTAAGTCAGATAAAGAAAAATATTCTACATTTTAACTTATATGTGGAATTTAAAAAGGAAAAAAAACTAGCAAATATAGCAAACCAAAAACAGACTCAGGTATAGAGAAGAGACTGGTGGTTACCAGTGGGGAAAAGGAAGGGAGAGAAGGGATTGAGGTAGGGGATGAAAAATACAAACTAGTATGTATAAAATGGACAGCCTACATATTGTACAGCACAGGGAAATATAGTCATTACTTTGTAGACTTTAAATGGAGTATAATCTATACTGTTGAGTCTCTATGTTGTATACCTGAAACTAATAACATACTATAAATTAACCATTCAATTAAAAGAATTTTATTAAAAGTTTTCTTTTCATATGCTTTGCAATGATGTTAGAAACCCTAGACTAGCCAGTCCAACAGAAATATAATGCAAGCCAGAATTTTCTAGTAATCCCATTTAAAAATAAACAACTAAAATTAATTTAATAGAATTAAGTAGAATTCTATTTAACCCCAAATATCCAATATTATAGAGGAATAAAAATCATTTCAAAATGTAATATTTTTAAAACTTATATTTTACATTTTTTTGTAATAAGTCTTGAAAATCTATTATGTATTTTCCATTTACAGAACATCTCAATGCAGACTAGCCAAACATGACTAGTGGCTACCATATTGGACAGAGTAGCCTTATACCACTCACACTTCTGATAAATTACTTGCTCTTTTCCGTCCTTTAAAAAGCTTGCGGAAAAAGCTTTAAATGTTCTCTGTAGCAAACAATGCAATAATGAGGGACAGGGAATATATTCACTATGCGCTATATGCTAAGTTGCTTCAGTCAGTCTGATTCTGTGCAATCCTATGAACTGTAGACTGCCAGGCTCCTTTGTCCATGGGATTCTCCAGAGAAGAATACTGGAATGGGTCGCCACTTCCTTATTCAGGGGATCTTCCTGACCCAGGGATTGAACTCACATCTCTTAAGTCTCCTGCAATACCACTATCACCACCTGGGGGTACCCCTATACACAACTGAAAAATAAAGGCATGTTAAAGTAATAATACCTTCTTAATTCATTCATGACTTTAAAAGCTTTCTTCATATGCCAAGGATTCACTGTCACCGGGCAGTGTTTTTCGGTATTATCATCTTTTGAATCGAGAGGCTTCTGATGACCCTGATTTGTGCATCTGTACATAAGGGAAAATAACAAAACACAGAAAAAGATCTTATTAAAGACAGTCTAGTTCAGACTTATCAGGTTACAAGAGATACAATGAATACACCTCTCCCCCACTTACTTAGAGGAAGTCTCACAGTATATTCCAACAAAGGACTAAACGACAATTCAGAACACTTTCTGATGGTCACTGGGATTTTAACAAAAAAAGTAGGTAATTACCTTCCTGGTGTCAAAACTCTCTCAAAGATGAGCACAGAAAATTCAGTAAAATGGTTCAGCAGATATTTTCAAAAGAAATGCTGAGAAATGATCTTCCCTGTTGGAAATTAACCTGCTTTTACATTCTGCAGTAGGCCTATTTACAAACCAAGACAGGAACTGGTTCATATTTTATACATACTTCAGAAGCTTAGAATCTGAACTGAACTTTGTTCTCTATTGAAAGATTATTTACTACATATATTTCAGACCTACTTTAATTCTTCACTGAGCATTAACTTACAGGCAGCCTCTGTACTATATTTTTTTTCATTGTTTCTTTAATCCTCATAACTCTGTAAGCTAATTACTATTATTATCACCAAAAAACATATAAAGAGACTGAGGCAAAAATAATTTGGGCAACTTGGTAAATGGTAGAGCTGGACAAGAGTGTGGCCAGTCTGACTCTCAAGTCCATTCTTTTCACTGATGTTAGATACCATTTCCTGCATTAAGCAGTGGATAGTTAATTCCATAGTTGTATATGTAATTTGTTAAGAGTACAAAGCTATTAGTATGGCTGTGTAAATTATTCTTTCAAGATCTAGGAACCAAAAAATTAACAAATAAAATCAGGGTGCCATTGTGGGGAGGGTTAACCACATATGGGCAGACACAAGAAACATTTTGAGATGGTTGCACAGCTCTAGAAATTTACTAAGATCACAATTATAATGGTTGAATTTTATGGTATGTAAATTACACCTCAATAAAGCTATTAAATAAAAAAATGAGGATACCAAATTAAGCCTAAAAAAAATTCATTCTTGTATATACATCACACACAGAACAAAAGGCAAACACCATTAGTATTACACCGTTTCTCTTCATGCCTCTTCCTTTCCTAACGATAATTCATTCTTTAAATATTATTTTATTAATTCAGCATCTAATTTTTGGCACTATATACCAAGCACTATTCTAGGCAGTAGGCCCTAGGAATATTTCAATGAATAAAATATAATTCCTGTCTTCATGGAATTTGTAGTTGGGGGGGGGGAGTGCGTAATGATATACAAAACAGACCAGTATACAGCATGTTAGAAAATAAGAACTTTGGAAAAAAGAAAATGTGTCGGGTACAAGAGTCAGGAATATGGGGGTGATGGACCTTATAGTATTAAATAGGGTGGTCAGGGCAGGCTGAATTGAGAACTGAGATTAGAACAAGGACCAGAAGGTGGGAAATGGCCAAGACGGAAGGAATAACTAGAGCAAAAAGGCCACTATGCACCTCATGTGTTCCAGGATGTGAGAGCAGGGCTGGAGAATGGAGCGCAGATTGTGTGTCTACTCCAAGGCCTCGTGTGTGTGTGTGTGTGTGTGTGTGTCTACTCTGAGGCCTCATGTATGTGCGTGAACACACAGAGGGATGAGTTACACCTGGCCTAAGAGAAAGAGCTAGTTAGTCTAGAATCCAAGAGAGAAAGAACATCCAGATCTAACAGAGGAAATGTCGGACACTCCTAATAATACGAAACATATTCTCACAATGCCATTTCTACCACTACTTCATTACAAAAACAGTAGGAAAAGGAAAAATTATGTAGATACATCCAACCTACACAAACTTTCTTACCATGTAACACTGAATACCCACATATGTAGCAAGTTGACAATATTTATATATGCTTCAAGTTTAATTACTTAAGCTTACAACAGAGGGAAAATACAATATTGAGGACTGGCAAAACTATCACATAAGGCCTTCCAATGCTCACAATGGAAACAAAAGCAACTCTGCCCTACAAAGAAGATCATTAAGAGTCATGAGTATTTATACTTGCTAAGAAATTTGAATTAAAACTTACTGCATTAAAGAATTCACTTTAAGACAGATACCATTCAACAACCAATGTCTATATTGCTGCTTTCTTAAAGCTATTTTAGCTCTTGCTTTTCTACTGTATTCCAGAAACTCTGCAAAGAAAAGATTCTATTCAAAAGCTTAAAGGAATAAATAAGGAATAACACTGCTTCTTTTAAGTGTTGTCGGTACTGAAAGCCCCTTTCAAATGCAGAACCCTGGCAGAGGTCTACATTTCTGACATTAAACTCCTTTCCACAATTTTCTAATTCTATTTGATTTTGTGTCAGATGGTCTCTGGTTCAGAAGTAGAACTGAGTAACAGAAAATGACACAACATGTCTAAAACTACAAATGTGGAAGAGGAACATCCACTAGGAAGCAGTCAAATAGGAGGGAAAGGTTTACCTTTTAAGTTACATTGTAAGTGCAGTTAGAGTAGGAAACAGCAACCCACTCCAGTGTTCTGGCCTGGAGAATCCCATGGACAGAGGAGCCTGGCGGGCTGCAGTCCACGGGGTCACAGAGTCAGACACAGCTGCGCGCACACACACACACAAGTGTGTCACGCCTTCTCCCTGCTTCCCGTGAGAAGCAGAGTGCTATCCTTTTCCAGAAAAGCTCCTCACTATGAAAACCTTCAAAGAATCTGAAGGAGATACTTTTTCCAACTCTACATCCCATAACCAGTGTTAAAATTACCCAGCAGCCTGTTGTTACAACACATACTCTACAACCGCTGAGGTTTCAAGGGTTTGGATCCCAGAACACTTCTAACAGACAATCCTGAAGCCTTCCTTCCACGACTAACTCTTCTACAAACTCCCAGCTGTAGGCAAGGTTGGCTTCTCAGACCACCCTTTCTAACTCTGCTTAAGAACATACTACTGCCAATAACTGATTCTCAGAGAGGAGGCCAATAAAGACTTTTATATGGGTTGTCTCCTTCAAAAAGGATTCCAAAATCAAGCAAAGGTTTAAATCTACTGCAAAAATTTTGAGGAAATCTGTGAAATAACATAGTTTCCTTAGATGCATATTATTTGTTCTGGAATAGCACTTTCCAGGGAGAAGGAAATGGCAACCCACTCCAGGATTCTTGCCTGGAGAATCCCATGGACAGATGAGCCTGACGGGCTGTGGTCCACAGGGTCGCAGAGTCGGACAGGACTGAAGCGAGAGCGGCAGCAGCAGCATTTTCCAATGAAGGGTGGAGGGGACAGAAGGACGACATGACCCAAGCAATTTTTCTAAACTACACATAATCATCCTTCTTCCTGTGAAGATTCAGGCAAGTCCCTTTTACAGGTCTAAGTATACCAGAATGACAGCATCTCCAGGAATAGAGGTGAAAGGCAGCTATGTATAACTAAAAAACAAAAAAGCCGGGGTGGGGGGTTGGTGATGTAATATGCCCCACCACCCACTTACCTCCCACCACAGGGACAATCATCTCAGATTGAGAACAAACACATTAGGAAATAGTGGTTGTTTACGTTTTCAAGGGTTTTTTTTGGTGGAAATAATGCCGTAAGTCATGTGAGTGATGCAGCTGAAAAATTTAACAGTGGACCAGACATTCTCACATTCAGGACAAACACTCAGCTCCTGGGTGGCCACGATCTTTGCTCCTTCCTTTGTCTGTTCACCTCAAAAGATGCAAGATGCCCCTGCCTGCAATGTCACCCACCATTGCTCACAAATTACTGCCAAGTTCACGGCAGAAGCTGTTGTTTTCAAAGTCACCATCCAGGCTGTACTGCTATGAAGTCTGTCCATTACTTTATATCTCTTCTATTTTCTCTGCTGTCTTCTAAGTACACTTGCATTCAGAAACTGATTACCGTAAACATTGCTCCCATAACAAGTCCAGGATATGAGAAGTAGAGATGCAACCATAACTCTCATTTTAACATATGTTATGCCGCTATATAGTTTCCCAACAAAATACCCTCACACCCTTCACCTCACCCAAATAAACACCATTTTACTTAGAGGTTGTAAAAGCGGAAGGCTTTCTCCACCGGAAACATTCTGGTTTGTGGTAGAGTTGTGCTTTCAGCTTTTGCAATTAGGTACAGGCAAAAAAAAAACATGCTCCGCAAATTTTCTTCAAGTGCTTAGAATTTAAACTTTTACTAGGTACACACCCAGCAGACTATCCGTAATCTATGAACATATGCTCATATTAAAAAATACTGTTAACATCTGCCCTACAGACACGTAAGAACTTGAGTTAGACCTTCAGGACGGAGACCTTCAGAACTGATCATGAAGCATCATGTGATTAAAAAACACCTCCCATCCAGTCACAGAACACCTTACAGACAACATCATAACAAAGGCACTGAATACATCTGCATAGCAGATACACTGCTAAAAGTTATGTTTCCAATTTCCCAGAGCAAGAAAGAAAAAGTCTAGAAAAGCTGACAATGCTCAACTTTACTAAAACGGCTTACCACTTAAACCAAAGTGTTGACCCTCCTGGAGGACAGAATGGAGGCTTACACACTGCCCTGTACTCCCCCAAGATGTGGTGTGCGAAACACCCACAGGATGTGAACGGGACTCTTAGGTGGAGGGGTGGAGGAAGCTCTCAGATCAAACGACAATAAGCTGTAAAATCCTCTGCTTCAGTTCAACCTTGCTCCCTCTCCCACTTTCCCTCTTACCTACATGACAAACAAGAGCACAAGCAAGCACTTTTTGCCCCTGACAGTGACTACTACCAGAAAAGTGACCAGGGTAAAAAGCCCTGCCTTCCACAAGATCAGTCTTATTTTAAATAATGTATTATAAACAATTAACAAAGTTACTGTCAGAGTGGGATATATGTGAGATGCTACAATTGGGAGGCGTATACAATGGAGAAAAGACAATCTCTTTAATAAGTGGTGCTGGGAAAACTGGTCAACCACTTGTAAAAGCATGAAACT